GGCTGCCGCGCTGCCGCTCTTGGCAGTGTAGCCGCGGGCGAACTTGACGCGGTCCAAGGTCAAGGGCTCGGCGTAAAGCCGAAACCAATGCGCGACGCGTTTTGGCCCGCTTGCCCGCAGGCTGTCGTAAAAATGTCCTTTCCCTTTTATAGTGATTCGGTTTTTCCTTAGGTTTTCCTTATTCTGATTTGTATATATTTTTTTTGCAGGACACGAATGTGACCTGGGAGACGGACTCGCCCGACTTCACGGACTGCTTCCACCGCACGGCGCTGCTATGGCTGCCGTTCGGCCTGCTGTGGGTCCTGAGTGGCGTGGAGGCGCACTTCCTGCTCAACAGCAAGAAGCGCAGCGTGCCCTACACGTGGCTCAACGTGCTCAAGCTGGTCAGTACCACGCAGTGCACGCAGTGACGCGCCCAGACGAAAGTGCGAGAGAGACAGAGCGACGAGGCGACTGTCCGGGAGGCGCATCACACCCCCTTGAGGCCGTGGCCGGATCCGCGTCCGAGGGGCAGGCCGTCGCGGCGTCGCGGCGTCGCGGGGTACAGTAGTCAGTCGCTCTGTCGACAGCGACCACCTGTGGAGCGTCGCTGTGCGGAAGCGGCGCGGAGCCTCGCGACAAGTGTTGCACTTTGGCAATGCAACGCGTGCACTCTCACTCACACACGTGCTGGGCACTGTACGGCGCGCCGCGGCGGCACTTGGGGACGATCGGCTCGGCGTCGATGACAGCCATGGTCATTGCCTGATGGACCGCCCAGCATCGCTTCGGTCCCGATTCGCTGCACAGTGACAGGTCTCTTTCGGCGGAAATAACTCCAGACTCGTTTTGGGCCGTCTCCTAAACCGAGCCAAACGGATGAGTCCTCTCGATAGACAATGGAGTTTCAAAACGTGTTACGTTATGTCCACCGACGGCTCTTCCGGCCGCGCGCGCTGGGCCCTGGGTCCGCATCGCGCGGATGGACCAGCGCGGGGCTTCTCTCCCCCCCCCCTCTCTCTCTCTCTCTCTCTCTCTCTCTCTCTCTCTCTCTCTCTCTCTCTCTCTCTCTCTCTCTCCTCTCCCCCTCCCCCTCTCTCTCTCACTCATTGCCGATGCACGGACGGCGCTGGCTTTTTCCTATCCATCAACGCGAGGCGACACGAAGCCAGTGGAAGGCGTCCTGGTCGTCCCCGTCCGCACTGGCCGGTCGCGGCGGTCGTGGACCCGTCCCCGTCCTGGTCCCGCGCGGCGGGGCGGCGGGGCGACGGGGCGACGCTCTAGGCGGCAGGAGGCGGCTAGGCTCCAGCTGTGGAGCCGGTCCTCCTCGCCCCCGCGCCGCGTGCCCGCCCCCCGCGAGCGCCAGCACACCCACCCGCCCCCGCCGCCCCCGCCGCCCCCGCCGCCCCCGCCGCCCCGCCCCGCGCGCGCCGCGCTGGGGGCGCCCGCTGTCCCCGTCGCGGAGCGCGGGCTGCGCGGACTCATCGCACCGCGACGCACCGCGACCTGCCTCAAGCAGAGCCCATTTCCTCACGGCCGCCGGCCGGCCGGCCGGCCGGTCACGCCACCGACGGCGCCGACGCGGCTAGAGCGAGAGAGAGAGAGATGGAAACCAAACCAGAGCGCACCCATTTCAACTGGATTTGACCGGTACGCGACGTCGCGTGGCCTGGCCTGGCGCGGCGCGGCGCGGCGTCACGGCGCTGGCACGGACCGAAGCGCGACCGCGTGCGCGTTTCGACTGGCGTGTGGCGGCCGGTCGCGAGTCGCGCCTCGCCTCGCCTCGCGTCGCGCGGTGACTGCGGCGGGGCGGCAGGGGCGTGGCGGGCGCGAAGTCGTTCACTTGGTGGGCCTGCGGCGTGCGCGGCTCGCGGCCAGCAGACTATGATGCCGGGAGTCGTTTTCGTCGCCCTGTACCTCTCGCACTTACACTAGGGTGCCCATGAGTGCGAGAGAGACTGACCGCGGTGCCGGTGCGGGGTCGGGCCGGCCGGGCCGCTGGGCCGCGTCTCGATTGACTCCTTGACTCGCGAGTCGAGAGGCCTGCCCCATTGGCCTGCCCGTAATGCCGCCACTTGAGTGAGAGAGCCTGAGTCGCCGCCATCCGATTGCTGCAGGCTGACCGTGCTTTCGTCGCTCTGTCTCTCTCGCGCTCGTGGGGCCTCCCGGGGCCTCCCCCGCGGGTGCGAGAGAGACAGAGCCACGAAAGCACTGTTCGGAATCGGCCGGCTGGCGGCGCGTCCAGACTGCGACGCTCTTCACTCTGGCTTATCTGTCCCTCCGAGTGTCCCTCTCTGCGCGCCCCTCAGGCCCCGCCCCGCCCCGCCCCGCCCCGCCCCGCTCTGAAATCCGAATACACGTTTCTTATACGGCACCGGACCTCAGTATATCCGGTTCTGGACTCTTCGCTACAGCGGCCGCCTGATTCCGAACAGTGTGTCATCGCTCTGTCTCCCTCGCACTCGTGGGGCGTCTCGCAGGGGGTGCAAGAGGGACAGAGCGACAGCCTTTGCGCCTTTTGGCAAGCGATTAATGCGTCCGTCGGCCCTCGCCGGCCCTCGGCTATTCCCGGCGCCCCATTCAGCAGACCCATTCCGAGAGTCGTTTTGTCGCTGTCTCTCTCGCCCTCATGGGGCGCCCCCTATTGGCGCGAGAGAGACAGAGCGACGAAACGGAGTCTCGGAATCAGTCTGCAGCTCCTCACTTCTGGCAAGCCCTCAAACCCAGGCACCGCGCCTTCCGGAAGCGTGTGCGGCCCACTGTAGGGCCCAGCCCAGCCACTGCGTACCACTGCGTGGCCCTGGGTCGCGGATGGCCTGACTGGGTCGCGACCAGAGTAAGCTAATTTCAGTAAGCTAATTTCGTTAGGCAGCTTTGGGGTGGCCCAGTCACGTTGCCCGGCACGCGGTGCGCGCCGGGCCCTGCGCTGTCTCTCTCGCACTCATGGGTGCGAGAGAGACAGAGACAGCGTCCCCCTACGGAACGCCCCAAAAGTGCGAGAGAGACAGCGACGACGCACGGTGCGAAACAGCCCCGCTGACCGGAAAGGGGTGGAATAGGGGCAAGGTTCGCCACCCTGTCGTGGTGTCCTGTAAGGATTCCGAGCCCCCAGCCGCCCCGGGCCGCGGCTGCAGCATGACCCATCTCCGATAATGCAAGGAACCAGTTGGCGCTCACACCGGCAAGTCGCCGTCCAGGTCCTGTGGCCAGGGCCCCGGGGCCGCGCCGCACAGTGGGCCAGAAGACCGGCGCAGGGGGCCAAAACCCTTGACGCGTTTTGAGCTCCAGAGTCGCTAAATGGGACTCGAACCAAACGTGCACTCTTAAAACCTTACGAAGTATTTTGAGCATACATATAACAAACTAAAAACTTGTTATACGAAGAAATAGTTCGTAATTACGAAGTATTTTCTTTGTAAGCTACGTATGCTCAAATACTTTGACAAACTACTTTCTTGTAAAGCCCAAAATAGTTTGTAAGGTTTTCTGAGTGTGTGACCCCACCAACGGATTGCTCCCCGAACGAGCAATCCATTGGTGGGGTCACACGTTCCGTTCGAGTCCTGTTTAGCAACTTTGGAGCTCAAAACGCGTCTAGAGTTTTGGCCGCCTGCACCGGTCTTCTGGCCCACTGTGCACCGTGGTGATGCGCGCCTCGCTTCGCCTCGCCGCGCCGCCTTGCGCTGGGCTTTCGGGCCGGGACGTGCTTTAGCCCGCTTTACTAGCCGGCCCCGTGTGCCGCCCGCGTGCCTGTCCACTGCTTTGCTCGAGGCTGCCGAACAGTAGCTTCGACGCTGTTTCTCTGCGGCGTGCGGCGTCCAGTGGCGGCCGCTGGCGTGACGGCGAGCGCTTAGCGGGGCGGGGTGCTGAGGAGAAGGAGGAAACGGTGGCCTGCCGGCCTGCCCCGTGGACGGCGGCTGAGTAATCGCTAAAATAAACCTCAGCCAGACTAGACCCGCCCTTTCCGAATATTGGGTCTTGGCCGATACCTCACATCTCGGGTGCTACGGTGCGAAATAGCTCCGCTGGCCGGAAAGGGGTGGAATAGGGGTAAGGTTCGCCACCCTGTCGTGGGGTCCTGGTCTGGCATCCTGTAAGGTGTCCTGTAAGGTGTCCTGTAAGGTGTCCTGTAAGGTGTCCTGTAAGGTGTCCTGTCTCGTCTGGCTGGGCCGTAGAGCCCCACAAGACCTTCTCGGAGAACCCAATGTCGTCCTGAGGGAAAACGAATGTTTCTGAGCGGCGCTGTCTTCCTGCCGCAACTATATTTTGTTAGTTGGTCTGACCGCCTGCAAGAGACAGAGCGGCGGAACACAGTGCAGGCGACACCTGTCAGGAAGTGCAAAGCGTGGGGGGGGGGGGGGGTGAAACTGGAGCATTCTTGGGGGTGGGATAAGCTGTGAGTTGTCGGTGGAGGCTGAGTGGGGGGGATGCATAGAATCTGACCACCCGACGCATCAGCAAAGCGGCATCAAACGGTCATTTGTGACCTTATCCAGTGGCGCAAACCTCGGGAGAGGGGGGGAGGGGAGGGGGAGGGGAGGGGGAGGGAAGAGCAGCCCTGATGCACGGGGCATCTGCGTGAGAGGTTCCCTCACCTCTCTTTCTCCGCCTGCGCGAAATGTGCGAATGTGTTTGCCTGCGAGCGGCAAAACCTGCAAACAGGCTGATTGGATCGGTGGCGCTCGGCGTGGCGCCCAGAGAGCCGCTCCGTGCTTATTGACTCGCTGACGAGCAGCGGTCCCGTCGCTCTGTCTCTCTCGCACTCGTGGGGTGTCGAGTCGACGTGCGCGACGTGCGAGAGAGACAGAGTGTGACGGCATCGCGACTGCTTTGCGTTTGCAGACCCTGACCTGCATCCTCGTGGTGATTGCGGTCATTGAGCTCGGCCATGCACTGCTCAACTTTTCGGCCGGCGAGAGCACCGCCGCCGTGGACTACGTCTCGCCGCTCTCCAAGATCTTCACATATGTAAGTGGACTCGGGTCTCGTCTTGGTCGGCGTGACCCTCTTGGCCTGGCCTGGCCTGGCCCCAGCAGGCAGTTCCATTTGATTTGATTATCAGCGCCTTGGCGCCCTCGGGTACCGCGCGAGCTTTGAGCTGCCCGATGAGTTGCCTACGGCCACGGCGCGCGGGCTGCCAGGCTAGAATCCTAGAGTGGACTGCGCGCGGGCTGCCAGGCTAGAGTCCTACAGTAGACTCTATGCCAGGCTATGCCAGGCTATGCCAGGCTATGCCAGGCTATGCCAGGCTATGCCAGGCTATGCCGGGCTATGCCAGGCTATGCCAGGCTATGCCAGGCTATGCCAGGCTATGCCAGGCTATGCCAGGCTATGCCAGGCTATGCCAGGCTATGCCAGGCTATGCCAGGCCATGCCAGACCAGCGGCATGGCCGCCGCCGCTGTCGCCGTTGTCTCGGCCTCCTCTGAACAGCGGGGCCTTTGTTGCAGGGGCTGGCCGGCGTGCTGCTGGTCCTCAACAGGATCCAGGGCATGCGGACCTCCGGAGTGCTCTTCATGTTCTGGGCCATCCACATGGTGATCGGCGCGCTCACCACGCGCACCAGCGTCAACCGGCTCGCCATCGAGAGGGTGAGTCACCACGGTTCACCATACTTCACCATCATCATGGTGTCGCGGCTCTGGCTGACGCCGAGGCTGACGCGCTGCTGCTGTTGCAGGAGAAGTGGCCCAATGGCACGCACCCCACCCTGCCGGAGGAGGGGCTGTCGTCGCTCTTCCTGACCTGCACCTGGCTCATCGGCTATCCGCTCATCGTGCTGCTGTTCCTGCTCAACTGCTGGGCGGACGCCGAGCCCAAGCTGTCCCTGTACGCCGCCAAGGTCGATGTAAGTGTCGATGCGTTTGACGGCGTTTCACGGCGTTCCACGGTGTGCGAGCTGCGAGGCTGCGAGGCGGTGTTTGTCACGGTGCGTTTGTTTTGTTTAATGTTCAGAGACCATGCCCGGAGGGCGCGTCCTCGTTCCTGTGCCGCGCCATGTTCGCCTGGCTGGACCCGCTGGTGTACAAGGGCTTCCGCAGGCCTCTGGTCATCAGCGACATCTGGGGCTTGAACGAGGCGGATACCTCCGTCGAAGTCGTTCCAGCCTTTGATAAGTATTGGCTGAAAAGTGGGAAACCAAGGTACGTTGAGTGCCTGAATGCGTTTGAGGCTGGTCTAGTGAGATGATTGGTCTTAGTTGTTTTTGCACGTAGAACGTGTGGCCCTTAAACACAATTGGCTTGCTTAATTCTACTGTTTTTCTTTTTCTTGTTTTATAACTTTTGAAATTTTAATATTATTTTTAGTTTTTTGCAATCCCTCTTGTCCAATTTTAAAGGTAGAACATTAGCCTCTGTATAAGTGCCCTCCACTTCCTTTTTGTAACTGCCTCTGCATGTTTCCCAATCCCATCTGTATATAAAATTGCCACAGGAAAGACAACTCCAAAGAGCCCTCTAAGGAAAAAGCTTCAGAGAATGGAAAGAGTAACCATGCCAGTAATAAGTCTGGTGTCCCCAATTCCTGGTCAAAAGGTGAAGTTGAACTTGAGCCGCTGTTTACCAATAAGTGAGTATCTTCTCCCTACACTCAAAAAATCGTCATTAAACTCTTAAAAAAAAAAAAATCTACAGGTATAAATGGTGAAGCTATGGACGAGATAAGATAAATTGGGCAAATACAAATTTTGCTTTTATTTTTTATATTTTTAAATGATTTGCAATAACATGTAAACCCACCAAAATTCCTGTTTTGTATTTTTTAATTGTTGTTTGGTGTTGTAGTTTTTGTTTGATTCACAATGATATGTGCATGATGGCTCTAATGTAATTTTTGGACTGCTCCATGAATAAGCTTCCTACCACATTTAATGCATACTTTTGCTATGTTTCTCAGAAACATGTGTGTGCTGCTATACGATTGTATCCCCCCTTTTTTTGAAACATTAAGTCTTTATACATTTTTTTCATAACTTTCTAATATCTTTTTATTGTTTTTGTTGTTGTTGTGGAGTAGTGCTCCAGGTCAAAAAGGGGGTAGTGATGGCCGTCAACAGACAAACATTATGTACGCCATGTGCCGTGCATTTGGAGGAGTATTTTTGGCCGGCTGTATTGCAAAACTTTTTGAGACCACCATTGTGTTTGTCAGTCCTCAAATCTTAAGGTAAAGTTATCTACATTTTCCAGCCTTTCTCATTCTTTTCTCATATCATCTCAAATTTTAACTTTCTCCTTTTTGATTTCTTTAGCCTTCTCATAAGTTTTGTAGAAGGCGATGAACCAGCGTGGCGTGGCTACATGTATGCTGTGCTCATGTTATTAGCTGCAACTTTCCAAACTCTCAGTATGACCCAGCACAATCAACGCATGTATATTGTCGGAATGCGCATCAGAACTGCCCTAATTTCTGCAATTTATCGGAAGGTTAGTATTATTTAAAATTAGTTTATTTTGTCTTAGGAGAATACAAGGACATGGTACCACATCAATACTGCGTTTTCAGGCTCTGCGAGTATCGAATTCGCTGAGAAAGGAATTGACTCTGGGAGAAATTGTCAACTTAATGGCTGTGGATGCTCAAAGGTTCACAGAACTCATGGCGTATATTAATTTGGTTTGGGCTGCCCCCTTACAAATTATTCTTGCTTTGTACTTCCTGTACCAAACCCTGGGTATGTGGTGTCTTCTGATCTCACCTCTCTCATTCATGACAATTAATCATGTTGCTGACATGTCTTTTCTTCTTCTTTGTGTACCGCAGGAATATCAGCTATTGCAGGCATTGTTGTGCTCCTCTTCATGGTTCCTGTGAATGCATGGTTGGCCGACCGTGTGGAAAGTCTGCAAATTTCTCAAATGGAACTTAAGGATGAGAGAGTAAAACTCACAAATGAGGTAAGTCATAAGTTCTGTGGATTGTGTTATTTCTGTTTTAAATGAAATAAAATCTAACAATTTTTTTCCTTTATGTAGGTTCTTGGTGGTATGAAAATTCTTAAACTGTATGCTTGGGAAGGTTTCTTTGGAGATCTTGTGCAGAGCATCAGAAACAAAGAGTTGGGTGTTTTGAAAGCAAATGCCTACCTCAATGGTTCAACTTGTTTCATCTGGGTGTGTGCCCCATTCTTGGTGTCTCTTGCATCTTTTGGCATGTATGTAATGATAGATGAAAACAATGTTTTGGATGCCAAAAAGGCATTTGTGTCTGTCACTCTCTTCAATATTATCAAGCAGCCTTTCACTATGTTGCCCATTCTCATCTCAAACGCCATCCAGGTATTTGAATCCATTAAGAGCAGTTCAAATTCCTTGACTTGTCTTGTTGTGTTTGAGTTTAAATCATCCTTTATTCTGTTCCTAATAGGCTAGTGTATCTGTAAGCCGCATTAACAAGTTCTTGAACGCTGATGAGTTGGACCCGAACTCTGTGACTCATGACCCTCGTGAAGGTAAGTCTAAAAATTTCCCTCTTGATTCCTGCTACCTCATATAGTACCTGAGGATCAAGAAAATCTGTGTCAGCTTTGTTTACTTCCAAGCTGTTCCAGGTATTTTTAGACCACCTTTTTTTCTCAACTTCACTTATTTAATGCTGTTTTTCCTTATTCAGTGCATCCCATTATTGTGGAGAATGGAACTTTCAGCTGGGGGCCAGATGAAACTCCAGCTCTTACAAATATTAATTTGCGTTGTGAGATGGGTCGCCTTGTGGCAGTGGTTGGTCCGGTTGCATCCGGAAAGAGCTCTCTAATTGCTTGTATGATGGGTGAAATGGACAAACTGAGTGGCAGAGTGAACACAAAGGGTACCATTGCCTATGTTGCTCAACAGGCATGGATTCAGAATGCTACACTTCGTGACAACATTCTCTTTGGTTTGCCCATGGAGAAGGAAAAGTACAACATGGTAGTTGAGGCCTGTGCTCTGAAAGCTGACTTAGAGATGCTTCCCGGTGGTGACCAGACCGAAATTGGTGAAAAGGTACAGTCAAAATATGCACAATAGTGAGGCTAATAAATGTTTTCTCTTTGTTACTTATGATTGTGTTGCAACTAGTATATTTGTATAACTTTAATTCCAGGGTGTGAATGTGAGTGGAGGTCAGAAGCAGAGAATTGCTTTAGCTCGTGCTGTCTACAACTCAGCTGATGTTTACCTCCTGGATGATCCCCTCAGTGCTGTTGACAGCCATGTTGGCAAACACATATTTGAACATGTCATTGGACCCAACGGTTTGCTTCGAAACAAGGTAACATTCCACCTTTGGTTCTGTCTACTATTTTCTTTTGACTTTTAATCATGCCTTACATAATCTTGTGTTTTCAGACTCGAGTCTTGGTTACCCATGGCATTCACTACCTGCCTGAAACCGACTTGGTTGTTGTACTTGATGATGGAAACATCGCAGAGTGTGCTCCTTATCAAGAACTAATTGACAGAAAGGGCGAATTTTCAGACTTTGTTCTGCAGCATTTGAATGATGGAAAAGTTGAAACCACTGGTACTCCTTCTGGTCCTGGTTCACCTGTTACTGAAAACCCTACCAATGGTCACGGTATGTTAATCTCTATCCATTTAAAAATGTTTTGAAAAATAGGTAGTAGAAAGTGTAATTGATGAATTTTGCCTCTCTAGGTCCTCTGCCCATGATTGATGGAGCTGAACCAGCGAAACATGAAGACCTCCAAAGACGCTTATCCCGCAAAGGACGGCAGGACACTCACCGCCGACCGTCTCTTGGTGGTCCAACTAGAAAAATGTCAAGGTGAGGCATTTACTAATGTTTCTCTTCCCAAATAATATTTTATTTTTTCCAATGAATATCAAGCACACTCTTTAAGGCGTATCATCATTCAAGGTCTTGACCCAATATGAATGCGACAGTTTGATTTTTTTTTTGCTTTGCTATAAACGTATATTTGCAGAAGTTTTGTGCATGGAAGCCCTATTTCTCCTCTAAGTTTGTTAAAATATTTTGGTTGCGGTGGAATGTTAAGATTTCAAATATTTTCACACTTCTGACTAATTTAGCTGTAAGTTCATTTGACAAAACTACTTTTTTGAAGTCCTTTACTGTTTTCTTCAGGTTTTTGGAAAGTTCTTTTTCATGCTATGCCTTATAATATACATGTTTATACAGTTTCATGATAACTTCTTAAGTATCTCAAATATTTCAATTGAAAAAGTCCAAACGCTTTTGCTCTTGCATGTGTTTCTCACTGCATTACACTTTTAGTACAAGTGCAATCAGATCAGTTGAGAATTTCAAGTTAGAAATCGTGCTGAGATTTATCCTTGACTGTTGTGAAATTGTACTGAGACCATCCTGCTTGTGTTCATTACTGGTTGACTATCCTTGCCAGCTGTCCATTTAAATACGCATTGAACACTCATTGTTTGTTGGTTTGCAGTGATCCTCATTCTCATGCCCACACTCCCCATGCACTCAGGTACGTATTTATCTTTCAACAAGCGCTCCAAAAGTTCAATTTACATTCTTCAAAACTGCACAACATGCTTCACTTGCCATTCAATCACTGTTGTTGTTTGTTACACTGCTCTCGAACACTTCATCACAGTGTGCTTTACATGTATGCTTTAAGATATTTGTAACACATGTGTTTTCTTCGCACCTTATGAAGTTTCTTAGTCCTTCGAAGTTTCCTCCTCTATTTTCTGCTGATCACGGTGGCAGTATGTGTGTGTACATATGACTTTTGCCTCAGTGGTGTGGTTCTTTATTCAAATGTTCTTCTGCTTTGCAGTAGTGTTGTTTACCTGATCCTAGACTCTGGAAATCCGCAGTGAAATATTGTACTTCTTTTCATTTTAAACCCCATGATCATTAATTTTACCTCACATCAACTCATTTGTGGGAAAAGGTGTCCTTTTGTTTGACGAAATCAGTTAGAATGTGTCTTGTGCTCCATAGGGGTAACCAGCCTCCGATGGGCCGCGTCGATTCCATCAAGGGACTTCATCGCAGGCGGTCTTCCATTCACAGGTCTGTCGCCAGTCGCCACTCCAATCTGAGTGGCGAAGGCTGACAGTGTTTACAGTTGATGTGATTTTTGAACATAATTGATTGGGAAGATTTTTAATAAGACTAATTCTACAAATTAACTGGTTTTTACTGAATGCTTTTAATATTTGAAGTGAAATACTACTCAGATGTCAAAATGCTTACCCTTAAGAAATTTTGTTCAATGTGCCGAAAATCTGTCTCTTTGTCTCTGTCTTCTTTCTGCTTGTTTTAGTTAGCACTGTGTAGTGCAATGCATGTGATTGCCTTGTTTCAATTGCATGTGTTTGTTGTTTCTTTGCTTATAACAACCGAGTCTTTTACACTAAAATGTGCATGTGCAAAAAATTAATTCTTAAACAACCTATTTTTTTTTTTATTTTTTTTTTGTGGTTTTTCTAATAGGATGAATTAAAAAAAAAAAAGTAATGAAGGAAGGCTTTGCCACTTCCGTGGTTTATTTCATCTTCTAGTCTATCCATTTTGTTGTTGTCCTAGTTTAGATATACAATTTTAGATCTCATATCTTGAGTTCAAAATAAATTTTAACAGCAGTAACTCTTTTTATTACATATTGAATCTCTTCATTCAAAGATTTTAATGGTTTATACATGTCTTACAGATCATGGTCAAAGGTAACCACAACACTGTCTAGTAGTCTTCAAGAAATGGATGAAGTTGAAGTGCGCAACGCTCCAAAGCAGGGCGAACGACTCACAGAGGCTGAAGTTGCTGAGACTGGCAGTGTAAATATAATTTCTTTCATTTCAAATTTTTGTTCTTTATTATCTCTATCTTGTAATGTTGTTTTAAAATTGTTCTCATAGGTGTCGCTGAAAGTGTATTCACATTATTGTCGAGCTGGTGGCTTGTGGTTGTGTTTTGCCACAATGTTATTCAACGCACTCTATCAAGCTTGTGCCGTTGGCACAAATGTGTGGTTGACGCAGTGGAGTGCTGACCATGAGACAGCCCAGAAACTCAACACAACTATGTCCCACCAACAAAGAGACCTGTATCTTGGAATTTATGGTCTCTTTGGATTTGGTCAAGGTATAATTTCATTGTTTAATTACAGTATTACGTGTGTGTAATGCATTAATGAAACACTTGATAAGACAACTTTATTGTAAATCCAGCTCTGACTCTGTTCATCTCTGATGTTGCCCCTCGTCTGGGAGCGTGGTATGCTGCGAAAGTAATGCATGATGTGATGCTCCATGGTGTTGTGCGAGCCCCTCTCTCCTTCCATGACGTCACTCCCCAAGGTCGTATTCTGTCTCGATTTTCAAAGGATGTGGATGTTATGGACAATCTTCTACCACAACAGATCGCCGATACCCTGTGGTGTATGTTTGAGGTATACAGTTTATCATGAGAATATCTTTACCAATCCTCATGTAGTTCATCATAGTAACTGTTCATGAAAATATTTTCTCTTCAGGTCTGTTCAACCTTGGTTGTCATCAGTGTCAGTATGCCCATATTCATGACGGTCATCATTCCCATTGCTATCCTCTATTACTTCATTCAGGTATATTTTAATCTGCAATGTCCATTTTATTATCTTGTTGAATAAATTTTAAAATTATTTTTGAGAGTGTTACCAAACTTGTATGTGTTGTTTCCTTTGTTTAGAGATTCTATGTAGCAACATCAAGACAATTGAAGCGGTTGGAATCTGTTACCAGATCTCCTATTTATTCACACTTTGGTGAAAGTGTAACTGGTGCTGCCACCATACGAGCGTATAATGTGAAGGAGCGCTTTATTCGTGACTCTGAAATACGTGTGGACATCAACCAGTCATGCTTTTACCCCAGTATTATCGCTGCCAGGTACTGTAAATTCTTAACTGAATTTTAATTTTTTTTTAAATTATTGCTCTGGAGAAGTAAAATTTATTACTTTTTGACTTTAGATGGTTATCAGTACGCCTTGAAACAGTGGGAAACCTCATTATTTTCTTTGCTGCCTTGTTTGCTGTTATGAGCAAAGATACTGTTGGAGCTGGTCTGGTTGGCTTGTCTATCAGTTATGCACTTCAGGTTTGTTCATACCGCTGATAAAAACTTTGTTTATTTTATTAACATAGTATTTACTATAATTTGCCTTTCTTGTTTTCCCTCATCTAGGTAACATCTGTTCTGAATCTTATGGTGCGCCTCTCCTCAGAAGTAGAATCAAATATTGTTGCTGTGGAAAGGTTAAAAGAATACGGAAACACTCCTGAGGTAATTTCAAAATTGATCTTTAAGATCCTTTGACTGATTAAAACAACTCTGAAATTGTATGTATTTTATAAATCTATATTTTTGTTAAATTAGGAAGCAGCTTGGACTCTGCCTGACAAAACAGTGGCCCCATCTTGGCCTGAAAAAGGAGCTGTTAATTTCATAGACTACAAGGTGCGCTACAGGGAGGGCTTGGATCTTGTCCTTAAGGGACTATCCTTTGGTGTTTCTGGTGGTCAAAAGGTAATTTAGATGCCTTACAAAAGGTAATTAATCTCTCACATTTTTACCAAATATTGCATCATTATTACAACCACGTCTTTATTTCAGGTGGGAATTGTGGGACGTACTGGTGCTGGTAAATCGTCTCTCACTCTCGCTCTGTTCCGCATTGTTGAGGCTGCTGATGGTAAAATTATCATAGATGATGTCGACATTTCAACCCTTGGCCTTCATGAACTGAGATCTAGAATTACTATAATCCCTCAGGTGAGTTTGATTGGAAAATCATATGTCTATATTTTAGCCTTCTTGTTTTACTCAAACTCTTCTGTGCCTCTTAGGACCCAGTTCTGTTTTCCGGTTCACTGCGCATGAATTTGGATCCATTTGCAAAACATTCAGATGCTGAGCTGTGGACTGCTTTGACTGATGCGCATTTGAAAAGCTATGTTGAGGGAGAGGGTGAAGGGTTGGAACTGGAAGTCACAGAAGGTGGAGAGAATCTCAGGTAAATTTTGTGTTTTATCTGCCTAGTCGTGTATAAATTTTTAAAAACAAATATTTATGGTTTTATTATTATTTGCGTTTTTTAGTGTTGGGCAGAGGCAACTGGTTTGCCTTGCCAGAGCCCTTTTGCGGAGAACTCGTGTTCTTGTTATGGATGAAGCAACAGCTGGTGTTGATCTTGACACTGATGATCTCATTCAGGTAGTTTTTTTCTCTCATTTAATCTAAATGTAGTGGTGACCATATTTTAATGATATTTGCCTTTCCAGAGCACAATCCGCACGAAGTTCAAGGATTCTACAGTACTTACAATCGCTCATCGGCTGAACACCATTGTTGATTCAGACATGTAAGTGTTTTGGGCGCTTCTACTTTATTTTTTAAGTGGGGATCTATGTATTAATCCTCGAAACAACTCATCCCTCCTGTTTACTTTAACTCTTGATTTTAGGGTTCTGGTGCTAGATCAAGGCAAGCTTCTTGAACTGGACTCACCGGAACGTCTGCTGAATGACAAGAGCACAGTTTTCTATTCCATGGCCAAGGATGCAGGTCTAGTGTCGTGAGATGTATTAGAAACATTTTGGCAAGATCAGTTGTCTGAACAAAAGATAACTATGCATAGGTTAGTAATAATTTATTGTGAATACCCTTGTACAGATAGCACTGTTCTTACTCTTCCTATCACCTCCCTCCCCCTTCTTTCTCTATCTCTCTCTTTTTGTCTCTCTTTGTGTTCACATTATGTTCATTCAAGATCTAAATTCATGCTTTAAGGACATGTTATTAAGTCTGCAATGAGCAATATGCCTAACAAAGATTTTAAGTTAGTACTTAGTTAAATGCAAAGTTATATTTTTTAACATGACACATTTCTATTTTTAATGTTTTGTACAGATGTCAGACTGCAGAAGTTCTTTTTGTTTGTTTTTTTAAGGATGTGAGATAGTGGAACGCATACAGATTGTAACTCATTGTGATAATGTAATGCTATACAAATCCTTTCTGTGATGTATTCTCTTGTCTTGCTCCTTACATTGTGCTGGTATCTCTAGTCAAGTCTCAGAAATGAACAAGTTTGTGAGTTTTACAGAGAAACTGCAAGTTGCATTTGTTGATTCTTGGACTCAGCAATGGTACATAATTCAGATTTCTAATCTTAAAAAAAAAAGTCAGAACTGAATTCTTTCATCTTCTATCCATTTGTGTCAATACAGTTACTATATGAGTTTATTCATGATTGTTTTGCCCTTGACACGAATGGGTAAATTTCATACGAGAACATTGTACAACAGGAGTGCTTTCTATATCAATTTTTTTAAAAATTCAACTTAGGAGATCCACCACTTTTACTGCTAATGCCTGCCCATTTCATAGAACTGCAGGTTTATTCTGGATCTAAAGTGCAAGAATCGAAGACCTTTTGTGCCTCACATGAAGAATAATAAAAATAATGCAAATTTCTGAACTGGAAATAATAATGACAATGTGATAGTCTTGAGTGGTTCTTGTTCGGCATTGTTAATACTGTGCCACAGTTACAGAATCTTGAAGAAAAAATTCATGTCTATGTCTATGGATTGAGGCTGTCTGAAATACAACGGATTTGTATACTTCAAGTGATGATCTTTGGTTATCAAAGAAATTGTACTTATATGTTTTGAGCCAAACTGTCATAATCACCATGGCAGCCACATGACTTGGTGGTTGCTAGCCTCCATTTATCATACATTTTCTGTTTCACTGCTGCTTTGGCAGCTTGGGAGGAGATGCTTGTGATGTAGAATTAAGTTGTTTTCGTTCTGAAATGTATCATCATTATTGTTATGATCATTCTCATTGATTTGCATGCCTTTTCATAATCCATAACCGGTTAATGTGTAAATGAACATTTCTGTAAATGTATGAATGAGTACGTGTTGACTGCGCCTCTGCGCTTGTATCAAAAATAAATATACTAGAACCAATCAGAGGGAGTGCATTATTGAAACAGTCTGAATCCAACCAGTTGCCATGTAACGACCCACAAAAGACCCCCCCATCAGCAATATTGACTTTAAGATAGGATTATTTTTGGGGGATGGGACGAAAACTTCATATATCTCTTACTGACTTGCGTTGAACACCGGCGACATGTGCGTCCGGTCTCATCAGTTGGAAATTCATAGGGCGAGCCGAGCCATAAGATCAAAACAGTACACAAACATAGTTATTTTTGACCCAAAAGAAATTTGATGGGTCAAATGGATCTCTATCTAGTATCTGGTCTAGAATTACAGCAGAGTAACCACTGCCACTTGAAAAAAGTTTGATATTGAATTGCTCAGTTTGAGGTTTGAAATGAAGCACATGAGTAAGGTTGCACCTGTATCAATACTTATTTTATTAAAACTCCAAACATTATACCACGAGCTGCTCTGGGTTGATCCTTGTCACATTCATTAAATAAATGAAGCAAGCAATCTACAGTTTTTTTTTGCGTTTTTGGTAACTTTACTTGATCTGATTAGGTCTAACAACCTGCTTTTTAAAATACTAACTTCAGAACAAAATGCAAACATAACAAAAATGACTAATCTGAAGGGAATCACATTTCATATTGCAACAAATATATATCGCCGTGAAACTTTATTTAAGGTTACCTTGATTTTACTGGAATATTGTTGTGTAGAGAAGGTACCACAGATTTAAAGAAGTAAAAGCTTAAATTACAATCTCTACACATTTATCTACACTGGCCTTGAAGGCCTGAATGGCGCAACAACACACATAATACATCACTTCTTCGTGGTACAAGTATTAAGTTAAAAACTGGATATGATAGTACTAAAAGATTCAGATTTAACAGATCCTGAAAATTTTAATCTGAAGCAAATCAAACTTTTCTGTCTCTCACTTTCACACTCTATGAGGAAAGCAGGAGTGGGATCTAAATTATTCTGCATGTACATGCAGAGTGCTATTTTATTTAACTTCAAATTTTAGCCAATTATTTAAGAATATATGACACTGGTAAAGAAACCTTTAAGGCTCTGAGCTATCACAGGATTGTCGTAAAAATTTACATTAAATGGCACAGAATATTGCATGTACTATACACACATGAATACTTAAGTCCACTTTCACTGTCGCCTCCACTTTTCTCTGTCTTCACACAAGCACGCGCACACACACACACGCACACACACACACACTCACGAACAAAAAATTAGTTCAAAGTTTCTTCCCTCCTGTGAGAGCATTACTGGTATCGTAACGAGTTGCACATTTTAGGGTTCTTGACCTTGGTAAATTAGCCTTCAACCTAGAAAAGCTAACCCCCCATATTTTTGAGTCTTTGCCACCAGGCAACATTGATCATGATGCAATCATTGGTTTGTTTCTAATCCATAAAAGTTACTTTAAAAAAGAAAAATTTAAATGAGTATTTGTGCTTGTAAAACATGTGTACTTTTGCATTGAAAGTTGAGAACCACGCAATAAATGCAACTGGCAAAGCCATAAGGCCAAAAAAATATTTTCCCTTGAACTATACAGGGGGAGGGGGCAAACTTTTATACCAGGCACTTTTACATTCGCATCAAAACAATAAGAGTTGTCATCAAATGAACTAGGGAAATGCCTCTGTTGTCCAGGGCAGGCTCACAACATTTGAAAACCATTTGACAATGCAGAGTATAAAATAAAATGTCTCTGCTAGCATTTAAAATGGCAACGTAAACAGAAAACAAGAGGATTATATCAAAAACAGTGTAGCTAAATAATGGGGTCTAGCTAACTTGCAGGACTAGTTACAATCTTATACAGGTTTCAGCACAAGACTTCACAAGTTTTCACCAATGGCTGTGAAAAAAAAAAAAGCTTTCTCCCCTCATAAAAAACAACAACAACAAAAACACATAAATAAAAGAAACTCATTTAACATTAGTCTTGTTATCACAAAGTAGAAATTTCCTTAACAGGCAAATGCGAAATATCCTTGTCAGTTCATGAATACTATATGATTTCACAGGGAAGACAATCTAATTTTTGATTGAGTAAGATATCAAACTTCTGAAAATTGAAAACTTAATGTATCACATCTGAACACTACATGTCTACTTTAAAATTAATGAAATTTTAGTGGCTTCAATAAATAAATTCTTTAGGTAAAGTGATTGGCCAATCAAAATTTTTTGGGTGAGAGGAAAACCTCAACATAAATGTACTAAAGATAAAAGCCTCTGCCAATAAATAACTATGACAAACTAAAGTAAAATAACAGTAAAAAGTATTACCTTACAAACACATGAGAGCACACAATCTCTGACTAATTTGCTCCATATGCAGTCAAATATACTTGAGATATGAAACTGATTCGGTTTCCTTTACAGATCATAAATGCTAGAATACAAGGGAAATGATTTGAATTGATTGAAAAGTGTTAGAGTGCAGAGGCATGGACTACATTGCTGTCAGGCTCAGATCTGCAATAGAACTTTTTGTGAGTTTTGAAACTATCATAGAGTGAAAATGAGATGTCGCAAGATTCACAGTACTTGGGGCCAGATTTGTTATTGTTTGCACTCACAGCTTCATCGCCTCGGTTCAACTCCTCTGCACTTTTGACAGACGGTTTTGAGTCTTCTAAAATTAAGGGTGATGTACGAATGGACCTTGAGGCACGTTCTTCTGCATCACTAATAAACACTGGTTCTTCTTTGCATTTAAAATTCTCTACTGCATCAAAGTCCCTATCTTGATTTTCTACTTTAATAGTTACTCTGTCTGTTCCATTTAATGCATTCGAAGGTCTTTGATCATCTGGATTGGATAAAGAATTCGATGCAGCCTCTTCAATGGATGCACCGTGAGCATGCTTAATATGGTGAAGTATGCTACTTTTATATAACGACGTAAAACTGCAAAAGTTGCAGGTAAACTGACGATCAGGGTCCACCTCTGCGGCTACTGCTCCTGCTCCGGGGAGACTGGACGCGTCGGTCGCTGCAGTGGGGGGCGTGGCGAGCGGGGCTGGGATGGGAATGGGGGCAGGGAGAGCGGCGTCATCCTCCATCACACATTTGATGTAATTCTCCTCCTGGAAAGGGGAAAAACAAATATTACCCTAACGAAACGGAGCATATAATGTGACAAATTGGCCGTGAGGGATTGGCTTTGAGGGAAGGCCCACCTGCAAGTCCGGAAGGCCCTTTTCGAAATGCATGCGGATGTGCGTCCGCATGCCTCTCAAGGTGTTGCCCTTGTAGCCACAGACAGTGCAGCGGAACGCCTTGATGCCGTTGTGGGTCTCCATGTGCTTCTGGGCGGCCGAGATGGTGGGGCTCATGACTGGACAGCACGGACACCTCCAGCCCGTCCCCGTCCCCACCACAACCACGTCACACTGATGGCTGGACAATTGATCTGCAGCGACAGACACCTGAGAAAAAAATAAATTTATTAAGAAAACGAAACCTATTAGGGCATAAGCTCCAGTGACCGCGGCGAAAGAAATCCTGTTCGTACCTTGCATTTCGGGCACCGCCGTCTGCCCTTGTCCTCCACCCCTTTGCCGGCGCCAGGCCCCGGCAGGGGAGCGGCCCCGGCGTCCACCGGTCGCTTGGGGCAGTAGTAGGCCTGGTGGTGGGTCAGGTTGTCCACCGACGTGAACTTGATGTGACAGCGCGCGCAGATGTACTGCACGTGCGTGGTGGGGGCGGCGAGGGGGCCGGACGGCGTGGAGGCAGAGGCGTTGGCCGGCGTGGCGGCGACCTGCGCCTCGGGCGGCGAGCTGGCCGACGGCGACCTGGAGGTGACGGCCGCGGGACTGGACGCGTTGCTGCCCTCCGCGGCGGCCTCGTCGTCCTGCAGTCTGGCCTGGCAGTAGTGGCGCTTGTGCGCGAGGAAGTTCTCGTGGCGGCAGAAGACGATGTTGCACTCCTGGCACTTGGACACGCCCTGCTTGACGTGCATCTGGGGCGGCGGTGGCGGCGGCGGGTGCGACGCCACCTGTTGCTGCAGCTCGGCCGCGGAGACGGCAGCCATGCGCAACGCCAGTTCCAGCGGTCCGGCCAGCGGGTTGCCGAGCAGCAGGGGAAGTCCCTGCGCCAGGCCTTGCGGAAGGCCCTGCAGTCCCTGCGGCAGGCGCGCCCCCGCAAGCACAGACTGCAGCAGCAGCTGCGGGTCGGGCACGGCGGGAACCCCCTGAGGCATGCCGGGGGGCAGCACAGGGCTGGGGGCCAAGGTGACGATCTCCGCTTCCTTCTTGGGGACCACTGGCGCCGCGGTCGCCACCGCCACTCCGTTGGGCGTCCGCCTGGGCGACTTCTTCCCCCGGTCCCTCTCCCTCTCCGTCGGCGATAGCGCCATGGCCGGCGAGTGCGGCCGCTTCCGGGACGGCATCGGCGGCATGGGCGGCTGCGGGGCCACGGGTGGCGGCGACGGCGACGGCCCCAGGCCTGGTGCCGGGGAAGGCGAGGAACACGTTGACGACGCGGACAGCATGAGGGGAATGCTGGGCGCGCACACGATGTCCTCGTGCTCGTGGTCCTGAACAGGAACGTTGTCGTCGGCGTCCAGATCGGCGTCGGAGCAGTCCGACGCGCGCCGCACACTCAGGTCCAGCGGTCCATGGCCTGATGGCGCGGAGCCAGGGCTGGAGGTGGGGGCACTGCCGGGGGCACTGCTGGGGGCGGGGTTGGGGGCCACTTGCTTAGCCTCCCGCTGGCGCCTGGAGGACGCCGCCGGGGCGGGGGTGGCCTGCTGCTGCTGTGGGGACGGGTGCGGCGGCGCTGTGGACCCCGCGGCCCGAGAGCGGCCGGCCGAGGGCAGGTTGGCCGAGGGCAGGTTGGCCGTGGCCACGGGCTGCAGCGAGCCGTCGGGCAACCACAGAAGGCACGCCGCCCCCAGGGCCGCCCCCGCGCCCACCCCCAGGGCAGCGCTCAGCGCCGCGGTCTGCACCACGCTGGCGGCCTGCAGCAGCGAGTACGGCACCAGAAGGGGCGGGTTGGTGGGCAGGGCGAGCAGGGCCTCGTTCACGGCCATGTTGGCGTGGCCGGGCGAGCCCGCCGCGGTGCGTGTTGGCAGCGCGGGGCCTGAGGTGCCGTCCACCGGCGAGGGCGACGCGGACTCGGAGGAGCCCGCGGCGACGGAGCCCTGGACAACAACAAGCAGGTCGCGTGCCACGTTAGTCGGCGCACAGCGGCACGGCGGGTGCAAACACTCATCTCGACGAACACACTCACCTTGAGCACGTGCCGGGTGCTGCAGTAGTGCAGCTTGTGCGCGCGGAAGGTCTTGAGAGAGGAGAAGCGGATGTCGCAGTCTTGGCAGTAGCGGTCCACCAGCGATGCTCCCGCATCTGCGGGCTCGGCCGGCTGCATCTGGAGCTGCAGCGGCAGGGGAAGCGGCGGCGCCACCGCCCCCGTGGCGGCGGGCGGGGAGGCCGTGTGCATCCGCATGTGTCTGCAAAGGCAACGGGCACGTCAGACTACGTCAGGCTGGCGACTCGCGGACCACACAGTCCAAAACTCCCTCTCCAAGCCGGGCACCCCACAGTGGGCCAGAAGACCGGCGGAGGCGGCCAAAACTCTAGACGCGTTTTGAGCTCCTAAGTCGCTAAATGGGACTCGGACCGAACGTGTGACCCCACCAATGGATTGCTCTCCGAACGAGGAATCCATTGGTGGGGTCACACGTTCGGTTCGAGTCCCATAAAGCGACTCTGGAGTTCAAAACGCGTCTGCAGTTTTGGCCGCCTCCGCCGGTCTTTTGGCCCACTGTGGGCTGGACGGCTGGACGGCTTGGTCACTCACCCTTGGGGCCCTGGGCGTTGGGCCGGTGCGAGCAGTAGTAGGTCTGGTGGGCCTCCAGCGTGCTGAGCGACGAGAAGCGGATGCCGCAAGGCTCACAGCGGAAGGCGACTGCTGGAACACAGGCCCCAAAGGCCCACGAATGAGGCAGTGCACAGGCAGCACCGAAGTCATCGAAGCGCACGCCGCACTGGCCGTGAGCGCCGTGAGCCGACGTCGGCATGGTGCGCGCGCCCCGCAGGCCCCACAGCCACTTAGGAGCAGCGAGCAGAGGCTGCAGAGCGTGTAGCAGTGCGTGTTGTGGGTGCGACGCCGACACTGGCATGGTGCGCGCCCCGCGCCCGGACACCGCGGTACCTCTCCGTCTATCTCACTTGCACTTGTCTCTCCCCCCCCCACTCGTGACGATGACGAGGTGCAGACACACGGCCGAGATACGTTATCGTTAAGAGAGATAGCCGCCACCGATAGAGAGGTGCGGGGCAGGCTGATTAGGCCTGCAGGTGAGAGCGAACATTGTCTATCGCGCAGCCATGCAAAAACAAATAAAAAATGTCCCGATAGGCTGCGGCGGCTGCGGCTGGCATATGGTCTTGAGCACCTTGTAACGCAAGTAAACACGGCAGCAGCGCGTTTTTCGCCTAACACCATGTTTTTTATCTAGTGTGGGTCTATTTTTTCTGGTGTTCATTGAAAAAATCGCTTTTTGACGAGAACTTCGACTTCAAACTACAATTTCCTTTCTGTTCGCGAAAAACATCAACGGATACCGGACTGACCTTGACGTGCTTCCGTGGGCTCCGCAGGGGGCTGGCCGGGCTGGGCCTGGGCTGCGGCATTGCTCGGCGACGCCTGCGTGGCGCCAGAGGCGGTGGAGTTGGGCAGCAGCGCGGCCACGGCGTCGGCGGCGCGGGGCAGGAAGATGCTGCGGCTGACGGCCAGGGCGGCTGCGGGACACAAGACACTGGTTGAGGTTCACACTTCCAGCTTTCCAGACTTGCAGACTTCCAGACTCGGCAGCTGGACGGAAAGGCGTCGCGTCGCGGCGCACGCCGGAAGCCGCGGCGATCTGCCGCCTTAGGCCTTATCGCTATCGCCTGCTATCGCCTGCTATCGCACGCCGCGTGCGCCGTCTCTCTCGCGCACCCGCGGCACGGCGGCGCGGCCCGCGAGTGCGAGAGAGACAGCCAGGCCCGCCAGGCCCACATGATCCAGATGGAGAGAGATAGCGGCGGTAATTAGCTCGGCAATCCGCGCGGCGCTGCGCAGCGCTGCTCCCCGTGTGAACGGCGGCGGCGGCCCGGCGGCGAGGAGCGAGAGCGCGCGAGTGGGGCCAGGGCGGGCCAGGGTCCCCCGCGGGAGGGAGAGAGACAGCGAATGCCGCACTAACCTGCCGCACTGCCCCACGGGCCCCACGCCACAATGCAGTGTCGCGGACTAATTGCAAAGTGGGCAGGCTGGCTGGGCAGGCTGGCTGGGCAGGGCAGGCTGACGGGGTGGCGACGGCACGGCGACACACAGGGTGCGCTGCGCGACGCCGCGCCCCTCCGTCCCAACCCCGTCGACGGCTACCTGGACACGTCGCGTCGTTCATATCGCGAACCTTCTCGGTTTGAGGTTTGAACTCCCGGCGCGGGAAAGGTAGCGCCCTCCTCGGCGGCGAGGGGCGGCGAGAGGCGGGGGGATTGGGATTAGAGCGTTATCGCGTCCGCGCAGGGCTGCGGCCCTTGGCTGCGGCCCTTGGCTGCGGCTGGCGCCGGCCTCGGCCACGGGCCCTTCTTGACGGGGCCGGGGCCGCGCCGCGCCCTGCAGCCCCTGCACCAGGCGGTGCGTGCGCGCTTCAGCCATTGTTTGCCTTCGAAGGGCCCCAAGGACCCGAAGGACCGACAGGATATAGGGAAAGGGCAGCGGCCAAGGACTCCAAGGACGACACGGCGCCGCCTGCGATGTTGACTATGACATGTTATCTCTGTGACCAGGCCAGGCCGCCAGTCCTGGCTGGGGGGCCTGGGGGGCATCCAGAGGCATGGGGAGGGGGGGGGAGGCAAGAACACACAACAACCCCCTCCCCTCTCCTCTCGCCATCCTCGCGCGAGCGAGGTGCCGCTTATCTTGGCACAATTATCTTGATAAGGAATCGCACGGGGCCGGGCCACGCCAGGCCACGCCAGGCAGAGAGACGCACTGCGCCGCGACGCTCCATTATCTTTATTTAAATGGTAATTCAAACGTTATCTCCCTCCGGCCGCCCCAGCCCGACCCTCCCCACCCCGGCCGGTCCGTACGTGCCGCCACGGCGGCGGCGAGGCGGCGGCGAGGCGAGGCACCCAAAGGGGGCCGAGGGGGAGCCAGACCCGACCGGGGCACCCTGCCTGGGCCTGGGCCGCGACCTGCGACGAGTACCTCTTGCAGCTCGCAGTGCTCGACAAGTAAGTACACAGTCACTCTCTACGGATTACTGCTCGGCGGGGGGCGCCGCACCTGGCGAGGCGACCGGCCGCGGGGCCGCGGGGCTGGCGTGCGGGGGAAGCCCAGGGAAGGCCCACGGCCACGGCCCTGCCTCGCCCTCCCGCCTGCCGAGGCAAGCCGAGGGAATCCAAATATCTGGCCATCTGAGATTCGGGCCGCGATACTGCGCAGAGCTGGGCCGCTGCCGCGCTGCCCGAGTGCCTGGCTGCCCGCTCGCAGGGAAGGCCGGGAATAAAAGAAAGGGGAGCGGAGGCCGGCAAGACGGATCGGCAGAGGGCCTCGGCAGCCTCGAGGGTGATGGCGGTGATGGCGGTGAGCGCCGCGACGAGGAGTGACGCCAAGGCCGCCGTCGCGGTCGCGCCGCCGCGATGCAGGACGCAGACGAGGTGCCTGCAGTCCGGTCGCCGTCGCTGTCTCTGTCCGGCGTGCCGGTGGGGCCGCCCGTTCGGAAGCAGCCTGCCGGTGTAGTGCCCCCTGGACGCCGGCGGACGGAAGTGCCCGTCGAATCCTGACTCGACGGGCCTCTTGACGGATCCCCATGACAGGCCGTGAGACCGCGGCCCGCGCCCTCTGCAGGCGGAAGCCCCAAGCTGGCCGTTGGCCGCGGACCACGCCGCGCACAGACAGACAGGCACGCAGACAGACAGACAGACAGACAGACAGACAGACACGGCGGGCAGGCTGACGCGCAGGATAGGGCAGGCCGGGCCGAGCCCGATAACGATAGCACCCGCGCCGCGCGCTTCAAGCTCCTCGGCTGGATGCAGTGGATGCCACAAACTTTATCTGAAATGGGATCTGGCCGGACGGCCGATGCGAGAGAACGATAGCGCGGCGCGGCATACTTCCTGCCGCGTGCGTATCACTGCCATCGCCGTGCCATCGCCCATCGCGCGGCCCGGAGGCCCTCGAGGCCCTCGAGGGCCCGGAGGCCAAGGGGGTCCTCCCCGTCTACGTTTATTCCGCGGTCACCAGCAGTGACACCGGTGACTGATCCCGGGGAGGTTTCTCTCTCCCACTCACAGAGCGTCCCGTAGGTGTGCGAGAGGGACGGGTGGACTGAATCATCCTGCAGAGATTCTTGGAATAAAGAGGAGCACCGCCACCGGCCCCGCCAAGAGTCCGCCTCCGCCCGTCGTACCAGCCGCAGCCCGGCGCTGCTACGCGCTGCTACGCGCTGCCGCAGCCACAGCAGGTATCCGCCGATCCCTATCTCGCCACCAGTCTACTGTCAGAGATAGATAAGCGTTCCCATCACCGCTATCTAGATCAAACTTTTGCATTAGCGTGTTCCCCGCCTATCTCTCCATCCGTACCCCGCCCCCCCGGCCCCGAGTCGGTCTGTCCGCCTGCTTGCGTACCTGTCCGCCCGTCCGCCCCCACGCGCGATTCACGCAGAATCCGGTCCAGTGGCGTAGCCAGGCCGGGCCGTGCCGTCGGGCCCCGAGTGCGCTTGTTTGGGTTGTGACGGATTGCGACAGGGCCGGGGGCACACAGTGGGCCAGAAGACCGGTGGAGGCGGCCGAAACTCTAGACGCGTTTTGAGCTCCAGAGTAGCTAAACAGGCCTCAAACCGGACGTGTGACCCCACCAATGAATTGCTCTCCTAATGAGGAATCCATTGGTGGCGTCACACGTTCGGTTCGAGGCCTGTTTAGCGACTCTGGAGCTCAAAACGCGTCTAGAGTTTTGGCCGCCTCCACCGATCTTCTGGCCCACTGTGGGGCAGCCGGGGAGGGGGGCGTACAGTAGCACGGCGGCCGTTCCGCCGTCGGCCGATCGCCGATCCGGCCAGGGGCTCAAGTCGCGCGCCAGGCGGCCGTCAAGGCGGCCGTCACGCAGCCGGCCGCCATGCAAGACCGCCAAGACGAAGACGAAGACGGGGGCTCACTTTTCGCTCCGCCTCCGCGCCGTCGGGGCGCTGTCCGCTGTCGCGACGCGGGGCCGGGGTGTGACGAACCTGGGCCGCGACTCGCTCTGGCCTACAAATACAAACTCGCCCCCTGCTTGTCCTTCTGCTCGGATAGCGACGCGAGTGTGTGTGTACTCCTGCGTGTGTGCCTGGCTGTGTGCAGTGGTATTACTGGTATTTAAGAACCATTTAGATAACTAACAACCAGGTCGGGTCTACACCGTACCCGCGTGGCCAAGTCCAAGGGTAGATAATGGTCTTGGCGTTGCGCGTTGCGCAGCGCAAGGCAAACACCGAGGACTCGCGTCTCCTTCTCGCGACTCTGGCGACGCCACCGCCAGCACGGCACGGCACGCGGGGAAGTCCCGGAAAGCCCAACCACGCCGAGAGCGTGGACCACACCGCCCGCAGAAACAACGCGCACCAACCACACCGTGTGTCAATCACACGATCAAAATTGGACAGAGCAAGTAGCCACTACTGTATTCGAGAATCAAAAGCCACTGCAACACAGCGCGTTGTCCGGAGGGCCTCCACGGCCCCCACGGCCTCCACGACGTTGTTGTCCTCACCGCGGGCTGCAGCAGCACCCTCGGACGCGCCCCCCTGGTCCGAGGCGGGGGTCGGCGAGGACGTCTTGACGCACATGCGCGACAACAGTGTGGCTGACAGTGTGACAACAACACTCGCGGGGCAGCGGGCCGCCGAGGCACGCCGGCGGCTGCAGCAGGTCACGACGACGAGGACGGTGACGACGTCCGTGCGGAGCGCGCGCCTCGGGGAGACTACCGGCCGCCTGTGGCCGCCACTACGCTGCTAGCTTGCTGCCAGCTACACTATACCAACCTGCGGAGAAGGGCATCGCCAGCAGGTCCCGGCGCACGCCGCTAGATGGCAGCACCGCGGCGCCGGCCGCCGGGTCCGTCGCGAGGCTGGGGTTGAGCCGCAGCCGCGGGGCCCGCTCGCGGTCCGCTGGCCGGGCGTCGCCGGGGGCCGAGGCCGCGGCCGCGCCGGCTGGCTTGCTGGGCCTGTGGACAGGAGGAGGCAGTTAGTTGAGCTGTTCACCCGAATTCACATGTGGCACAGAAAAACGTATCCCGAAGAGACGCGTGGTCGCCACGTCCTTGCCGCACCCCCTATGGGTTCGAGAGGGACATGGCGACGCATCGGCTCTGCCATGGCACTGCGGAATCGCTTGGCAAGGCCCTACGCGGCTCGTCTTCAACGGCAAGCTGCTTTTGAGCGGAAGACTTTCCTGAATGATAGTCCGGGTGGCTTATCGGCCACGCTGTCTGAGTCTCGTTAACATTCTGCGTACAGTGAGGCGATAGCGACAGTGCGACCGTGTAGGCGGAGCGACGCAGAGCGGCCAGGCTGCAGACTGATTCCGAGAGCCGTTTTCGTCGGTCTGTCTCTCTCGCCGCACCTGCAGGGGCCTCATGAGTGCGAGAGAGACGGGGCGACGGAAAGACTCTCGGAATCGGTCTGCGGGCGGTGCAGCGACAGGCCCAAGGCCCACCCACGCGCCGCGCCATGGCCGCGCGGGGCGTAAGCGCAGCGCAAGGCAGCCAGACCCAATACTCGAGCAGATAGCGCGGGCTAAGTGCATGCTAATACACGTGCTAGCGCGGGGAGCGCGGGGCGCGCGGGCTAGTGGGTACTTGAGTCTGCGCTACAACCTGCCGGCATCTTGGCGAAAGGGAGGGGCAGGGGGAGGGAAGCGCATCTTGAACAAACTATAAAACGAGCCGACTGGGCCGGGCTGGCCCATCGCATGGGCCCATGCAGCCCATGCACACTGCCAGCGTGCGATAGGGCTTAACGACCACCGCACCCGGGCGGGTCGCGGCGTGGCCGCGCACGCGGAGATGCGCCGATACTAAACTGCTACATTGTGAGCACGCCGACGCCTACCTGTCTGCGCCCTGCGCGGTCTCCTTGTCGTCGGCGAGGTCCACCACGCCGTCCGGCGCGTCGTGACGGGTCCTGGGGGTCGCCGCCGGACTGGTGGTCGTCGGCGCGGGGCTGCGGTCCGCTGGACTGGGGCTGCGACTGGCGGCGGGGTCCGCGCGGTCAGCAGGGCTGCCGCCAGGGCCGGGGCTGCCTCCGGGGCCTCCAGGGCCGGGGCTGCCGCTTCTGGCACTTCCCCCGGGACTCGCGGCGCGGCTGCCACCGCCGTCCTGCAGCGGACTGCCGCCGGGACTGCCGGCAGGGCTTCCCGCGGGACTCTGCTTGACGACGGCGTCGTCCTTGTCCGCTTGCGCCGTCGCCGCTGCGGCGCCCGGGTCGCCATCGCGTCCCCACCCCTCGTCTTCACCTGCAACACAACATCAACACCGTCAGCACGGACAATGACCAGCACGTCGCACGCCTGCAGAGGCGGCGCCCTCCGCGGCCACCGGTACGGCACCTCCTCGCCGCCGTTCTGTAGTGCCTCTCGCCTGACACGCCGACCAATAAGATCGAGCGAGATGCAGGGCGCCGCGGGGCAGCCGGGCGGGGCGGTATCGGTGCGCAGGCTTGCGCGGTCGGCTAGCAGGAGTCCACTCGGCGGACAGGACAAGCAGGACAAGCAGGACAAGCCGGGCCGATGACAACCCGGGGACACCGGTGTGTGCCGCCATCAGATAGGGCGGCCAGTGCGCCGCCGCGGTGCCGCGGTTCAGCACGGCGGCCTCGGAGGCCTCGACGGGGACCTCGGGGCCCGCGCCCAAACCACGTGTGTGACCGAAGGGGCCGAAGCCAGGGGACTGCTGCAGAGGCGCTGCCAAGGGAGCGGCTGTTCGGGAACGCCTCCCCAGGGAAGTACATGCCGCCTCGGCCGGCCGACGGTGGGGCAGGCGGCAGGCTCCGGGCGGGGCGGGGCGAGGCGGGGCACGCACCAACGTGGGATGATGCCCGGCGGCCCGGCCACATAATTGGGACATTGAGACACCTGGCGATGGCGGCGCTGGCACGGCGCGCTGCTACTGGATGGCCTACTGGATGGCCCGCAGCTGGAGAAGTCGAAGGAGCAGGGAAGGTGGAGGCATTGACACGATCTAGCTGGGAGGGGATCGGAGAGTGGTCCAACGCGTCCACTGTGGCCCGATGGGCGCGGAGTATACGCTCCGACCGACTCATTTCTCATCTCGGAACAAACATTATATAACGAAAAGAATAGAAGGCAAACTTTAAGGTTATCGAGATCGGGAAACGCGATTGGGCGGCTGTTTTCCCGCGCGCTGCCCCAGCGCTGCCTCGCCCGCCTTGCCTGACTGACAGCCCCGCCGCCCCGCGTTGTCTCGATACGGAATCAGGCTTACGGTGTAGCGGTGCCGCGCGGTCAAAACTAAGTATGAGAATTTTCTCGAGCGATAACGCGGAAAAGATGAGGGCTCGCGATTACACAACGCGGCGCGGCGGGGCGTAAGTCACTCTCGCGGACCGACCCGCCGGTTCCGCCGTCTCTCTCGCACTCGTGGGGGCGTCCCGGGCGTCCCGGCGTACCCCGGTGTAGTGGTGCGAGTGTAGTGGTTCGGACGCCACCAAACACGTGGCGACGTGGCGACCGTACAAGCGGAAAAAAGAATGAGACGCGGTCCTTCCGTCCGTCGAAGACCTCCTGCTCTTGTTCGTCGAGATGCTTATCCCGAAACGGTTTGCAGAAGACGCGCTCCCCGTCCCGTCGGCCCGCCGTCGGCCCGTCGGTATCGCGTCGAGAATCTGTGCTAAGGTACGACCTTGGGCGGAGGAGCGCTCATTAGCAGTGACGCCCGTGACACACACACACAATCACCTGCACACTCACAATCACCTACACACACAATCACACACACACACACACACACGAAGGAAATAATTCGGGGAAAGGTGGACCGGAAATTGTAAATCTGCAAGTGTCGACGCGAGGACCGGCAGGACCGCCAGGGCGGTGATTCGCACGAGCTGGCGGTGGTCGTGACACCTGGCCCAGGGCCTTGACGAGCACCGCGACGAGCACCGCGACGACGCGCGGCGTGCCTGTCCGAGGCACGGCCCGGGATAGCGCGCTGACGGGGTAGATCCATCTCGCCGGCCCCGCGTCGAGGCGGCGGCTGGCCGGTTCCGAAGGGCGCCGTCTCTCTCGCTCCCGCTGCCTGTCCACTCCCTCGGCAGTGCGAGAGAGAGGGAGCGCCGTTCAGAGACGGCCTGCGGATCGCGGCATCGCGGCGACGACGCGGCCACGGCGTCCATCTCATGCCGCGACGCGCATCGCGCATCCATTTCCGTCGCGTTATCGGCGCGCTGGCGTGTCTGGCACGGCGGCCACGGCGGCCACGGCCTGCCAGGTGGCCGGTCATGGATTCGGCCATTCGGCGGACTGGCCGCGAGGCGCGAAGCACCCAGCGCAGCGCCACGACGCCGGCCTCTTGACCCCGGCCGATGCGGCACTTGGCGCGCCTCCACGTCTGTCACTTATCCTGTAACTGCGGAACCGAATCGGCGGAGGGCCGTCGTGGTGGTGGCGGTGCCTCGGCCGCGCCAGGGCCGAGTCTGTTTCCCCCGACCATGATGCCGCCGTGGCCGGCGAGGCCACCAAGGCCCCCGGCCCGCCCGCCCGCGCCACGCCGTGTCCGTTTGAAAGTGCGCTCGTCCGGCGTGCCTGGCCCTGGCCTGGCCGTGCCGCGCCTATCTGGTCCGGCAGACAGGCCAGCTGGACGATAAGATGCTTTTAAGATGTCGGCTGCTTGGCGCCAACGAGATACCAGCCTCGCACGCACACAGACACACTCACACGCACACACACACGCGGACGTCCACGTACAACCCCACATGCAGCGAGACGAGGTGCGGCCCGGCCACTGCTATCACTGCCCTGCCCTGCCCGGGGAGAAACCTCACCGTCACCACCGGTCCGGCCGGATGAAGAAATATGATAAAAGGGCGACAAGGCGAGGAAAAAGGAGGAGGGAGCCGCGAACGCCTCACACACTGCAAGCGGGACAGAGACAGCGCCGGACCGTCTCGCGAGCTCGCGTTCGGCAGACGTCAACCAGGAAGAGGCTATACGAGGGGTAGAGTTTGCTCCTCGCTCTATCGGAAGACGCCGCGCGTCTATCTGTCTTTATCTACTTCCCGCCATCTGGGCGCGTCCCGCCCGGCGATGGAGTATCTCGCGCCGTGTCAGCCAGCAGGCTGACTCGGAACGGCGCGTCCAACCTTCGGTCTTCTGGCCCACCGCCGCCGCGGACCGCCGCCCTCGCCAGCATGCTGCAGGACGGACTCCTCCTCGACCACGCCACTGCTGATACCGCGCTTTATTTTCAGCAGTGCCTCGGCCCGCACGGCTGCAGTCTTCAGAGCCGTTCCGAGCACCGGCTTCGTCGCTCTGTCCCTCTCGCACTCATGGGGCCTCCCGCAGGGGTGCGAGAGAGACGGAGCGGTGTCGGTGTGTCGCGTATTAGCGCTGCACGTGCGAAGCGCGAAGCGCCAAGCAGTGCCGCCCGAGTCCAGATCGAAGCCGAGATACGCGGCGCGCCGCCAGCGCTGCCAGGGAGGCAGCGCCGCCAGCCGAGCCGCCAGCGTCAACATTATAATGACTTCATCCAACACGCCACCAATAACCCGTCTAAAACCAACACGCGCATTTTTTTTCCCGCCCGGAGCCACCGCCGAGGACGTGGGGAGGGCCGTGGAGCCGC